ACAACATTACTCTGTTTGTGCCGGGGGACTGGATCTTTGGGATGAACCAGTCTTTGTCGTAATGTATTTTGGGGTTTAAAAGCCACTGGGACGTTATGTTTAGAAAATAAACGTCTCAGTTTCTCTGATACCCCCTCAACATACGGAATGACCACTGGTCTGGGTCTGGGTTCCTCCTTTTCACCTGATGGCTGACTGGAGTCCTGTTTGGGTTTCTTCTCTGCTTTCAGGAAGGCCCAGTTAGGATATCCACATTGCTCTAGAGCCTGTTTTGTGTAGGATTTCTCCTTCTGCCTGGCTCCCGAGCTAGTGGGGATGCTGTCTGCTCTGTGATACAGAGTCCTGATGACTCCTAACTTGTGCTCCAAAGGGTGATGGGAGTCAAACTGCAAATACTGGTCTGTGTGGGTGGGTTTGCGGTACACCTCGGTTTGCAAATGTCCTCTATCCGAGACTGAGACCTCACAGTCCAAGAAAGCCAACTTGCCATTTTTTACATCTTCTCGTGTGAACTTGATGTATTTATCCACAGAGTTGATGTGGTCAGTAAAATGTTGGACTTCCTGAGATTTAATTTTAACCCAGGTGTCGTCCACATACCTGAACCAATGACTTGGTGGTGTCCCTGAAAAGGACGTCAAGGCTCTCTTTTCTACCTCCTCCATGTACAGGTTGGCAACAATAGGAGAAACTGGAGACCCCATAGCACACCCATGTTTCTGCCTATAATATTGCTCCCCATATGTGAAGTAGGTTGACTGCAGGCACAGTTTCAAGAGTTGACCCAGTTGTTCTGTGGAAAGCGTGGTCCTGCTGCTCAGAGTGGTGTCTGATTTTAATTTTAAACTGACCACCTCTACTGCATCATCCACAGGAATGCACGTAAAGAGTGATGTGACATCAAAAGAGACCTTTGTTTCATCAGTCTCCATGATGACATCTCTCACCTCATCCACAAAGTCCATGGTGTTCTGTATGTGGTGTTCTGAGCTGCCAACTAAAGGGATGAGTACAGATGCCAGACATTTGGAAACATTGTAAGTGACAGAGTTAATCATGCTAACGATTGGTCTTAAAGGTACACCTTGTTTGTGGATTTTAGGTAAACCATACAGACTAGTGCCCCTTTTCCACTGTCACAGTGCAGATCAGATCAGTTCGGGTTGGTTCAGATTGGCTCGGGTCTGTTGCGTTTCCATGTACATTTCTGGACCAGCTCTGTAGGCGGGGACTAGAATCCAACTGGTCTTACCACCTGGTGGCGGTAGTGCTCCCTTAAGCTACTTACTAGCCACCACTAAACGTATTAGAAGAAGAACATCCTGAAGGTTTTGTCACACAATGTTGTGGAAGACATGTCATCCTCTAATGGAGTACCTCATGAGCTGTAACTTTTAAACCTGATTCATAATCCTACCTTACTGCCTTCCTGCTGCTTTAAATCCATGTGTTTTTCATTTTAGTATAGATTTTTACAATAAAGATGTATTAAAAATATCTTCACTTTTATTATTTGCAGATATGCACAAGGTTCATGTTAAAATTGCAAAACATCACACTGTGCTGTAATCTTTGAAACTGCTTTTACAATAAGATACAGACTTGAAAACAATTAGATTAAATGTTGTCATTAAATTTTAAAGGTTTGTTTTTCATTAAATTTAAAAACATAAATTTATTACTTATTAATCTAAAAAAGTTAAGTCTGGTCCTCTGGACATTCAAAAAACAAAACAAACAAAAAACATTTATTGTTTATTTATTATAAACTGTGTTGTTTGTTTTGTGAATGTCCAGAGGACCAGACTTAACTTTTTAGATTTTTCTACCTGGATTATTGAGCAGCATCAGGATATTAATTAATAAATAGTCAGTTGGTCTGAAAACACCATGGGGTCCTAGAAGAGTTGAAGAGGTGGCTGTTGATGTCTGTGCCTCCCTGGTGAAGCTGCTGCTCACACAACCCTGAAGCAGAAGATGATGGATGGATGGATGGATGGATGGATGGATGGATGGATGGATGGATGGATGG